TACATCCCATTTAAAAAATTTTTGAAAATTAAAAAAATAAACATAGGGGTGACATTTTTTTGTTGACTGTGCTGCGCATTTTCTTNACAGTTTTCCTTTTGTTTGTTTAATGTTCAGTAACTTTTCATAAAAATATAGCATATTCTATATCTACATCCCATTTAAAAAATTTTTGAAAATTAAAAAAATAAACATAGGGGTGACATTTTTTTGTTGACTGTGCTGCGCATTTTCTTATATATAAAAATTTTGTCAGCATACTTTGTATGGTAGAAAATCAAAAAAAGGGTGCGCTATTCAAATGACGAGGAATGTTTATATGTAGTATATTTTTGTTATTTTTATACTGCGCAATTATATGTAAGTAAATTTTTTGAAAAATTGTTCTGCATTTTAAAAATATATTTATGGTCACCGTTGTTATATGGAAGAAAATGCGCAACACCCTCCACAAAAAAAATTCTAAAAAATCAACGGTAATTTTTAGCGACTTGAAACTTGCACTTTATTATACTAAAATTGAATGGGCTACAAAACTGCATACCCGAAAATTTTCTAAATATCCTAATTAAAATTTTTGAAATTTTGATGGCAATTTTTTGAAGTTTGATTAATTTTTTTGCAATTTGTGCAAGCTTTGCAACTCTTGTTATTGTGGTTTCTGAAATAGATTGAAATATATTTTAAATGAAAATTATTAAAAATAAATAAATAAACATAATTTGCAAGCAATATCGTTTTGAATTTCGTTGCTAATTAGTTGCACGCATCTGTATGTACATGTCTTTGCCACAGATTCGGAATCGGCGGACAAAAATATACAACTTTTGTCAGAAACTTTTTTCTGGAATAGACTTCCGGTTAAAACAATGCCCTTCCGGTTAAAACAATTTCCTTCCGGTCTGTTTAACCCACTTACGGTCGAAACCGTAAATCGGTAATTCGGCCAAAAGATAGAGCACCGTCTTAGTAATTATTATTTTCTTTTCGAGGGCCATTCAGGACCGTTTTCACCAACTCTGGTTTACACTAAACCCCAGTCAAACACCATTGCCGATGTTACCGACACAATGTTATATGTATTTCAAACAAAAGTTACGTATCTTTATCCTCAGAATCTGAATCAGTAGTAAAAACATGTACATGTGTCTATTGGGTTTTTCAAAAAATTAACACTTCCCTTTATTTCCCTCCAGAGGGGGTGGACGGGTGGTATATGAAAGAAAAAATGAGTTTAACGTGTGTACTCCAAAGTACTCAGTACTCACGAAAAAACTAGAAAATGCTCAGAACTTAAAAGAACTAGAAAGTACTCAGTACTAAAAAATGTTCTGTTCCAATCATCACTTTGATACATGTACTCAGGATCGATTCAAGGAACTCAGTATTAAGTGTCGAATATAGGGTTGCCATATTTTTTTGCTCGAAATCAGTACCCATAGACTTTTTCATGCTGTAAAAATCAGTACTTTTCAGTACACTTTTATTCAAAGCATAATTATGAATGGAAGTCACAGAAATACTTTGAAACACCAGAGAACTTCCCAGCCAGCAAAACNTCAGTACACTTTTATTCAAAGCATAATTATGAATGGAAGTCACAGAAATATTTTGAAACACCAGAGAACTTCCCAGCCAGCAAAATATCCGGAAACCTATCCGAAAATGGAAACAATTTCGTATAAAAACCTGATGTTTCATCCGTTTTCCGATTCCGATTTCGGAAGTTTTTCAGATCAGTTTTCCCACTAAAGTGTTCATCCGAAACGTATGTGCAGAAAACTATCGAAAATGGTTGGAAAAGGGATGCGCTTTCGGCTGTTTTCCTGAAATTTGTCTGAGTCAATTTTTCGTTGAAAACGATTTCATTATGAACTTCGCAGAAACTTTTTCATAGTTACAGGAAACCAAACAAAAAACAAATTTAAGATTTAGCAATTATTTTAATTTGAATAAATAACTATAATGTGTTGCTTCTGACGGAATTCGAAGCTTGGAAAGCTAACAAATAGTAGCACATTTCTTTGCACACTCAGCTACTGGCGAATACGTATACATACGGTGACCATAAATATGGATTCAAAATGAAGGACAATTTTTCAAAAATATGCCTACATATATTTACGTAGTATAAAAATATCAAAAGAGTATTTATGATTCTAAATTCTTAATACATTTTAAACTTTAAAAACGAATCACGTTTTCTTCATCGATATTAATCTTTTTTTACATGAATATTTATAAAAGTATAGTAAAACATATTATAATTACAATAGCTTACACGAAAAGTGAAAATCTTTAAAAGATTATTTTATAGGCAAATTTTGAGTCGTTCAAAACGAAAACAATACAATTTTTTTTGTTTTTTGTACTTTTCGCAGTTATTTGTCAAAAATCGACGTCATGAATCGACGTAAACGACGAGTTACAAAGGTATTTATGTGCCCTTTACACACGGTGGGCAGGAAGCGAACATAGGTTGCAATGAAAATGTCGACAAAATCTGAAAGCTGGGTTGTATTTGTTGATATCTCAAGGTTAAGAATCCGCTTAAATTGAAATCCTAGCTGCTCCTGTTTTAAAGATATCCACATTTTATATACTTCTGATAGGATATATTTGCAAAAGAGGAAGGCGTACTTCTCGATAATTAGAGCATATTTATACGAAAAGAAATCTCATACAAATCTGTTCCCCTTTTTTAACTCACTAAAACGGATCAAATCAATGCGAAACATTTTCATTTTTTCCTACCGAAAGAATAATTGATCGAGATTTATTGGGCGCTACCGGTATACAACTTAGATAAAACACCACAATTACCTTTTTCTGTAGCGTGAACTTTCTCATTACAAACACTTTCAATATCGCAATATATGTATGTATGTATACAATATTGTATGCTATATAATACGGTAGTAATTTTTTATTAAAGGTTTGTTGCTATAAGCAAGTAGCGCAGGCAAGTCGCACTGCGCTTGTGCAAGAAATAAAAATGCTCTAACTTAGGCCAACGGTACTCCTCATAATAAGTAAATAAATTCAAAGCTTGTATGAGATTTATTTTGGTATTTATGTACTCTTCTGTCAGGAAATAATAACTATTGTACATCCAGAACACAAATGCGATCATAAAGAAAATCGCATGTCCCGGTGTCCCGGTCCAACCTTTCTTGTCTTCTATTTTTTGCACGCTTGCAAGTTTTAAAAAACAGGGCGCTCTCTCGCTCTGAGGAGTTATATTTTTTAAGAGAACTCCGAGCGCTAGCGTTATCTATATTCTCCTCACATGTTCGGCTCACTCATGAATTTGCATGTGGCGTATTTTTAAAATAGTTTAATGTAGTATGAAGTAACTAGTCAGCAGTCCAACAAATTGTCTGCAGTCCCATCTGCTATAAGTGGTTGCAGATCGAAGAGTGCCAATTGGTCACATGCCTCATTACTAGGTACTCCCGAGTGGCCTGGCACCCAAAGTAAAGCAAGCTTGTTATGTTTACCAACATAATTTAGTCGAGACTTGCTTTGCCGAACTAGTTTGGAAGTTCTTAGATAGAGGGATAGCCAATGCTTTAAGTACACAACTTGGCTGTCACTGCCTACACGTAAACTCCTTCCCCTCCACCTATTTTCTACCACGAGTCCATGGCTTTGAGGATTTCAACTACCTCAACCTGGAAAACCGAAGCATATTCCCGAAGAGAAAAGTAAAGCTTATCCCTATTAACTTCGAAAAAGACCCCACATCAGTTTTGGCGCCATCAGTGAAGATTCGGCAATTTGTGAGTCTGGGCTCAGTGACGTACTATCTAGTGGCCTTGAGAAGCCAAGAGTGCTCAAATCTCTACCTCGCCCCACTCAGTGTTATACCAACATCCGTTTCTTTTTAGTCTGCAGTTGGCCTTTAAGGCTTCCTCACGTATTAAGACACAAAGTGACGGTAAGTGCAGCAGTGCGTTGCGAGCACTATACACCACTCAAAGAAATGTAAGTTAAATAAAGTTGGTTCTTTACTATCGAAACCAGATAAATTTCATGGATCTCCACTTACAACTCGTGACCCCCATAGTTTTTCACGCCGACGTAGACTCTCGTCGAGTTTCCCGTGGACTCCTGGGGGTCCACCTGGACCACTTTGGGAATTACTCATGTCGATACTCGTATGTATCTTTTGTAGCAGCCATTTTCAGATGCATGATTTTCGTAATCTTTCCACGTACATGTTATGTATCGAACGCTTCCATTAAGTTTTTAATTTTTGCACGTTCCTGTGGCAGAGGCCGCTTGGTGCGACAGTCGGGTCTACCTAATTGGAACGACCCATATCTATATCTGCCACTCCAGCAGATTCCCCAAAAACTCTTTGCGGAAATTATATACTGTTTCAACAACAACAATAAGACTTAGTAGACGGTCATTTATATCCTGACAATAAAAAGGAGGATTGCTTATAATTTTACTGATAGTATTTTTCAACAATTTACTAATGCAGTAAATTCTTCTAATTGCAGAGCCGTCGAACGATTGGTAAATTCAGACACCGAAATACCATCAGAGGCGAATAAACAACTCATAACTTTGGCCGTAGAGGAGTTGACACGCTCAGCTGAGCACCAACCACACATCCAAGAGCATGCACTCTCCATTTTAGTGGCCATTGGCCGGAAAGAATGCAACGCGGTAATGGAAGCATTAATGGCACACACAAAAGAAGGTGCGGTGGCACATTTCATGGTCATGCATTGCTTAGGAGCTATGGCAACGGCGAATGTTCCGGACGTTGTACCTTTCATTAAGCCCATACTCGCAACCATACTGCCGAATCTGGGTGGCATCAAACACGATCACATCAAGCAGGCTCATGCATATGGTAGATCCTTCGAATCACTTTTAGTAGATTGTATACAGATGAATCTAATTTCTCTTTACAATTGCAGCTATTGGACACTTTAGTGAAGCTCTACTGGAGCAATCATCAGCACATGGCGCAGCAGCTGTCGTCTCAACCGCAACTAGCCCCATTAATGGCGAAATGGAGTCCGCTTCGGACGCACCAACGCAAAATGCAGACGGCAAAGGCGATTGTGCTACCGAAATTTCTGTTGCTTACGATGTGCTTTTCAATCAATGGCTGCATTCGCGTGAACCCAAAGTATGTGTCGAAATACTGCAAGCGCTTTCTTCAATGTACCCACTGCTGCCTGTCGATAAGATACAAGACCAGTCTCCGCGTTTAATGCCACAAATATTGGCCTTATACCGCCGCTCCATCGAGCGAAACTCAGTGACACAATTCCTCTCGTCGGTATTGAAAACAAACATAGCACTGCAGCCGTCAGTGCTAGATGCGGTAGCCGATCAATTGATTTCAAATCTCTTCGATTTGGTGTGCGTATTCCCAGACTATGAAAAGCCACAGACTGTAAAGGGGCATTATGAAGTGTTACGTTGTTTTCATCTGCTGTCAGGCATTTATGACTTAAATTATTACGAGTTGGGTTGGTGCTCTTTCATATGCGATTTTTTTTTAAATGTAGCACGTTTTGCATAAGCAATAGTTGATGATTAATATAAGTATGTACCTAAATACGTTAAAATAACATGCACAGAGTTTTACAATTATAGCAACAGCCAGAAGTTTTGAAACAAGCTCACAGCAATGAAACAAATGACTGATATTTTAATGTTACCTTGTATTTATTTTTTTTTTTCGTGAAACCTAGATTACTTATAAGTACCGTGCCGTACAAAATTATTGGCTCGGAGACACTCTCATCTGATCACAATTTCTAATCAGATCTTTTAGAAAAATGTTTAAAATGTAGCTTTTGAGCCAATTAGTAAAGTGCAAGTCTGAAGTTACCAGAAAATTTCGTTGATTTTTTGCAATTATTTATTTTTTGCTGACAGTGTCTTCCACATACAAAAAAATGTCGAACATAGTTTGTATGGAAGAAACTCTCAGTAAAAACAATACCAAATATATTGCCTCGTTCAAAGCCATGAGCAAAATCGTGAATACATGGTTTTCCGCAAAACAAGCGGATCTTAGTAATTTTGATAAAAATCTTAACGAACTCCGCACAGCTTTGAAAAGTACTGGAATTTCTCAAACTGTCAAAATCCATTTTATCCTTAAAAATTTAAAGCAATCTATTTCATTCTTGAATAACGATGGTTTAGGATTATGGTCCGAGCAGGCCGGGAAGTCAGTTCATAGGGAATTCATTAAATTCTGGGATAGATTCAAAATAAATATGATTGATAAACCAACTTTTGTGAGTCGCCTGAAGAAAACTGTAATGACATTTTCATTCCAGCATATATGGTAAGCCAACAAAAAAAAATAAAAGGAAACAAAAAACAAATATAAAAAATAAAGCAAGAAAAAAATATAAAAAAATAAAACCAAAAAAAGAACAAAGAGGTGCAAAGTAAGTTGCCTCTACGTGGTGCGCCATGGAAACGATTGAAACCGGCTAAAAACTTACATAAACTTATATTTTCACATAATATATATACACACATTTACTCACACATACATTGTTGAATATTTAATGCACAAGGATGTTTTTCTCTTTCGCAAAAGTCGGTCCTATCATAACTATGTAAAATGTGGATATCTTTAAAACAGGAGCAGCTAGGATTTCAATTCAAAGGGATTCTTAACCTAAAAATATCAACAAATACAACCCTGCTTTCAGTTTTTGTCGACATTTTTATGCAACCTATCTTTGCTTCCTGCCCACCGTGTACAAAGATATATAATTTGTGCAGATTGCACTTCATTGCATTTACATTTATAATCCGATTTTCATTATCTCTGGCTCAAAATTTACTGTAATGATATATCTTCTTTATCGAATTTTTAAACGAATGAAAAAATAATCAAATAAAACTGCGCATTTTGATTGAAAATCTCACTTTTTTCGACTTTGACGACAAAATGCAAATGGTCGCCTGTAGCACTAATAATTTTCATTGAAGTCGCCACAAGTTATATATTTTGGTAAGAGGAACATCAATACCCTTCGAGATGTAAGTCGCTTACGTTGATTGGGAGATTTTTTCATGAGATATTGAAGAAAAGCTACGAAAAGTACCAAGAAACACTTTTTTGAAAAAATCCATCCATTGTCCGATAATTTTAAAATTACGGATAAAATGCGGGACAAATGCAGGACACTTGGAAAAAAGCAGTACATTTTCAGGTTTTTCAGGTTTGGAAAACTACGCAGGACCGACCATTGAAAAACAGTACGGTCCTGCAAAAAACAGAACGGATGGTCACCGTACGTATACATGTTTTCAAATGCTCAGGTTGAACAAATATTTTAAAATTATTGTTGCGAAATAAGATGATGACATTTTTCGGATACGAAAAATGAACAAATATGGAAATCGTTTTCTGAACGTTTCCGCATACGAAAAATTTACGAAAACTGCACTGTCAGCAAAAAGTACGTTTCTCTGCTGGCTGGGTTGTTTTTAATAATATTTTGCTATCCATATAAATAAAATGTAAATAGTTCATAAAAAATAAAAATGTTATTCGTTTTAACACACATTAAATGTAGTATAAACAAGTAAAAAAGTCTAAGTTCGGGCGAAGCCCACCATTAAATATTCGGCGCACGTATTAAATATAGTTTTTCACCTTTCTAAAAACTACCGTTCCATGGTAAGCATACCGGTTTTACCCCTATTTGTAACAATTCCGATAGTATGTTCAGTTAGAATTAATGAGATAAACTTATACAATAGTTACAAGTGGGCGGTGCCATGCTCATTTTTTAAAATTCCATATCAATGTTATTCATTTTTAAGCGATTGTTGTAAGCATCAATTTTGAGTCCTTAAATTTCGAAATATGAAAGATTCAAGCATTTCTGAAATTTACCGTTATATAAAAAGTAAGCGTAATTTTAGTCCAATTGCAAACATTTTTAAGGTTTTGCTTTTATTTCACCCGAAGATCGCTCACGTAACTACAAAAATATAACTAAATTTGTTCACACAAGTGAGTAGCCCACTTGCAAAGTGCGCTATGTAAATATTTTGAATTCTTAGTTTTTGGTGGATTACGTACCAGTATTTAAAGTAGTTTCATGTCCACTAACAACACAGTGAAAAATCTTTTTATATTCTGAAAAAATAGCATCAAATGTTCCGAAAATCGCTATCATACTTATTTATAAACTTTCAAAGGTAGCCATCTTCTGATGAACTTAGAAAACTGCTTTAGGTCGTA